TTTTTTGACAACTGCTTGCATATTTGTGGTATTGTTATATTTTTGTATGGTGACTAACGCAAGTATGGAAATTTTCGGTAAATAGAAACATGTAAGGTATGGCGATGTATGGTAATGTATGGTACATACATACATTATTCGTATAAATGTTGTTATTATAAATATAGGACCTATGTATGCTCTGGAAATGTTAGGTCAAATATTACGCAAATCTTGTTACATATCTTCGCGTTTGCGTAATAATCACGATTATGTCGATCTCGGATCATCGCAAATCGCAAAGCAAGCAAGCATATTTTCGGACTCCTAAAGAATCCAAATTTTTTAATTTTTAAATTTACCCGAAAAATAAGCATTCCTATAGCAAAATAGAGTGCTTATTTTCGGGACTATACGTCATTTTTCATTTTTCATTTTACTTTTGGAATTCTTCGCTAGATCAATGCAATATAGAGAAGGTTAGAAAGGAACTTACCTTTTTTAAATTTTTTTCCTAGATCGATAAAAAAAAAACTAGTCAAGCCGATCTAATTCATAGTAAATCGAGCTTGAGGAGCAGGTCCGGTTTTATGCGGAGCTTATTTTAATATATTCTTATATTTTACAACAATTAAATTTTAATATCTTCATTCTCTTGATCAAAAAAAAAAAATGATTCATTAATTTGTTTTATAGAAATAAGCAAAAAGCTTTAGTTTCGTCAATATATAATTTATTCATTCGACTAGATAACCTAGATAACTCGGAAAGACAACACTATTCTTAAGGATTAATACTGGCTGAGCAATTCAAGTAAAATTTGATAAATTCGCACGGATCAAACCTATAAAAAATAAAATAATAACTGCTCCGTACTTGAAAATTTCATGTGACTTGCGTCAACATAAAATTTTTGAGTTACTTTTTCTTAGATGTGCAAAAAGGTTGAGTCGTGAGCATCCGCTCTTCCTAATTTTTTTTAGGAAAATATTTTGATAAAAAATTAAAATTTTTGTGAATTCGAATGAGAAATGCAACAATTTAATTATCGATATCAACAAGACTCTTTTTTTTTTTTTTTGGATTTTCAATGTTAATTCATACGAACTTGTTTATTTACTTGTTCTTAAATAAAATTATCGTGATCTGCATGAGCTTTTTTTATGGTGACAATAACTAACGCCCTTCCTATAAAAGAAATCAATTCGCATGTTTAAATTACAAAAAAAAATAAAAAATTAAAACTTTAAATTCATTTGATTCGAAAAAAAATTTCAAAAAGATGTTCAATTAAATATGATGCCTTCCGATAATGATTCAAACGATGCGATCACGCTATATAGTCTTGCCCTTTCATATGAGAAGAAAAGGGACTTAAAAAAGGCCTTTAATTGTTATCTTAAATCGGCCGAATATGGATATAAAAACGCACAATATAACCTTGCGATATTATATGAGAAAGGTGAAGGGACCGAAATGAACAAGAAAAAAGCTTTTTATTGGTATGATAAAGCGGCAGGGAATGGATTCGGAAATGCGCAATATAATCTTGCACTTTTATATGAAAAAGGTATAGGAACGGTACAAAATTTAGAGATGGCCATTTATTGGTATCAAAAGGCGGCAGAAAATGATTATGAAATTGCACAATATAACCTTGCAATCCTATATAAAAAGGGTGTAGGAACAGAAAAGGATTTAGACAAGGCCTTTTATTGGTATCAAAAGGTAGCAGAAAAAGGATATACCAATGCTCAATATAACCTCGCACTTTTGTATGAAGAAGGTAAAGGAACAGGAAAGGATTTGGAAAAGGCTTTTTATTGGTACAAAAAAGCGGTGGAGAATGGTAATGAGGTCGCACGATATAATCTCGCGCTCTTATATGAAAAAGGAAATGGGACAGAAAAAAATCTAAAAAAGGCCTTTTATTTGTATCAAAAAGCAGCAATAAATGAGAATTTTAAGGCGCAAAATAACCTCGGTACTTTATATGAAGGTGGTGAGGGAGTAGACAAAAGTTTGGAAGAGGCCTATTATTGGTATCAAAAAGCGGCAGACAATGGATACGATGTGGCACAATACAATCTCGGTCGTTTATATAAAATAGGTAAAGGTGTAAAAATAGATTTAGACAAGTCCTTTTACTGGATACAAAGAGCGGCAAAACAAGGAAATCATGATGCACAATATAATCTTGCGCTTATATATGAAAATGGTGAGATAATAAACAAGAATTTAGAAAATGCCATTTATTGGTATCGAAAAGCGGCGGCAAATGATCATGAAAACGCGCAATTCAAACTTGCGATTTTATATGAAAATGGCGAAGGATTAGAGAAGAATTCAGAAAAGGCCATCTATTGGTGTCAAAAAGCAGCAGAGAATGGATGTAAAGTTGCGGAAAGTTACCTTTCAAATTTATATAAAGTAAATGAAAAGATAAACAGAGCAGTAGAAAATGAATATGTAAATGCAAATGCACAATGTCATCTTGCGTTTACATATGAGAAAGGTGAAGGGGTGAAAAAGAATTTGGAAAAATCCATTTACTGGTATCAGAAAGCAGCGGAAAATGGGAATCAAGTCGCTCAATTTAATCTTGCCTTTTTATATGAAACAGGAGAAGGAACAAAAGTGGATTTGAAAATGGCCTTTTATTGGTATGAACGAGCAGCAGAAAATGGATTTCAAGCCGCACAAAATAATCTTGGTCATTTATATGAGAGTAGTGATAAAACAGAAAAAAACTTAAAGAAAGCCATTTATTGGTATCAAAAGGCAGCAGAAAACCATTATTATGTCGCACAAAACAACCTTGGATGTTTATATAAAAAGAATGAAGGAATCAAAAAGCATTTAGAAAAGGCCTTTTATTGGATTCAAAGGTCAGCAAAAAGTGGATTTAATGTAGCGCAGAACAATCTGGGTTATCTATATGAGAATGGTGAGGGAATTGAAAAGGATTTGAAGATAGCCTTTTATTTTTATCGAAAATCGGCAGAGAATGGATATTACATTGCACAAGATTATCTTGGTTATTTATATGAAACCGGTAAAGGTATAGGAAAGGATTTAGAAAAAGCATTTTTCTGGTATCTAAAGTCGGCAGAAAATGGAAATGAAATTGCACAGTTTAATGTAGGAGTATGTTATGAATTAGGAAGGGGGGTTAAAAACGATGAGATCAAAGCATTCGAATATTATCAAAGTTCGGCCAAACAAGGGTATTTTGGAGCAAAATTTCTACTTGGATATTGTCACGTAAACGGAATTGGAACAAAAATCAATAAAGAAAAAGGATTCAAAATATATAATGAGGCGGCCGCAATAAAGGATAGCGACGCGCCAAATGTTGTGATGAGTGATTTGGATAAAGTTAATTGTTGGTATCATGAAGCTGCAAACGATGATAATAAGATCGCGCTGTATCATTTGGGGGAATTTTATGAACTTGGAAGAGGAGTTGATAAGAATTTAGCCAGAGCACTTGAATTTTATAGAATATCAGCTAATAAAGGATGTTTAGACGCTCAATATAAAGTGGGATATTTTTATGATCATGGAATCGTGGTTGACGTCGACAAAGTAATGGCGTTGGATTTATATCTAATAACCGCCGATGAAGGAAATGCTGATGCACAAAAAGCTCTTGGGCATAAATATGAGCAAGGTGATGGGGTAGAATTGAATATAAATAACGCTATATCATGGTATATGAGAGCTTTAGACAATGGCCGCCAGGAGGTTAAAACAAGTTTGGATGATCTTTTAGGATTGCTAATATAAGGATTCTATGATATGCTTTCAAAGTATCTGTTTATTTTTCTTATATAATTTTCTTTTTCAATTTGTATAATAATATTTTGTAAATATCATTAAAATAAAATATTGGACCGAAGCGAGTAAATCGATTCTGAACTTTTGAATATATATAACTGATGTTCACTTAAATTTTTTATCATACAATCCATAGGACACAACTCAATATTTATTACTTGATGGAATGTTATCCTGAAATTTATTCTGCCTCGTACCTTGATTTATTGACAAAATATAAGAATTACGTTTATTGATTCAAGGTTTAGATCACGTGATTTGAATTGACACTCGAAAGGATCTCAAAAATTTTTTGTTGGTACTACAGTAAATCCAAAATTAGAAGTTTGTACGCAGAGCGTAATTAAAGATCGTTTATCGCGAATAATACAAGTTGGTAAGTAATTCAGAGAAAATCATATTTCCAATAATGAGCTTGTACAGAGAAGATGAAGGACGATAGTTTTGTTTATACAATTTAGAATTTCATTGTTTGTATAATTTGACGTTATAATTTTCACTTCAGTATTTTAAAGATTAAATCATTGTAGTTATTAAATAAATTTAAGAATCAACCTTTTTTTTTTCTATCAGCTGTCAATAATAATTAATGGCCACCATATGATGCCATAATGATTATTTTTGACGACATTTGATCCCCAAATCTCCCAATTTGGCACTCAAACCCAATAAAATATTTCTACTATGACAAGTCACGATTCATCGTGAATTATTTAATAAAAAAAAAAGTTAAAATCTTTAAATTAATAAAATAAGCAACTGGGTATAAAGACCCTAATGAAATTTCGAAAAAAAAATTTTAATTTTTTTTCCATCCAATTATGCACACTGGCATCCTACATGAATTCTGGAACATTCCACGGAGCGCGCTTCAAAATTCATCATATGGAGTTAATATTCCCAATTCCAAGAAACATTTAGTGTATTTGGGTTGAAAATATAAGATCATATCAGTTTTGCATTGCGAATTCTGGTTGTAAATATAGTTATATAGGGAAATCCATACGTAAGAATAGATCGTGAGATTGCAATTACAGTAGTATGAATAATAAGAAAAACACTAGGAATCAAAATTCCTAAGTTGTAAAAAAAAAAACACGAAATAATTTTAACCTAATATACTATCTAATTATTATGAAAATAACTTAAATGAATTATATACCATCATAATTGAGACAACGATGGCCGTCTCTGAAAGTAAATTGTTGACAATTTCCATAATTTCTATTTCTTTGTGTTTAAAGTTAAATTATGATGAGATTTTGGAACTGTGCAAAAGAGTAGAAATAACCACCGGCTTTTGTTTTTCTGAATCTTCCCGCTTTCAAATCAGCGCCCCAATAGCCGATGTATTTTATGATCCACAAATACTACCAATGGGATAGTTTACATTGTTTCCGCCTCCTCCTATCGTTAATGACTCTTTTACATTGACCTATCGGTAATGTAATCAGCTGGAGGTATTAATTATTTACAAATACGATGTTCAAAAATTAAATCATGTCAAAATATATTTGGCGCAGCATTTTCAAAATAAATTACAATGATTGGTTGACCACAAGATCAACCATATACAGTAAATTTTTTTAAATTTCAAGGAAAAAACCCCCGCAACAATTACACATAAATTAAGATATAGGTGTCGGCAATTCTTTTAGAGAGGAACGACATTATTCTTAATTAAATATATAATGAACAGAAAAACTCCGCCCCGAGTTGTGTACCCATTCTTCGAAGACTTTAGCAGGGAGCTGGAACTCATATCACTCTTAAGAGTATAAATCAGTTTTTTCCTTCTCTCGTTGTCTTAACTTTTTTATTTTTATATCCTACAGCATTTTCCAAGTAATAAACCAAAGGCTTGTTTGATAGAAATTTTTTATTTAGCTAGTAAGAATTCTTTAATTATTTTCCTAACAAACCTCCCAAACAGCATTTATATTATGTGAAAAAAAGAAAGTGGACTAAATTCTACTGTAATTGTTACAAATCCAATGGATCAGTCGTTTGTAAAATATTATATGATATTGGAATTTGATTTTCGGTATTTTAATAAAAACTCATTATAATGCATTACACTGTACTGTTAATTTAACATAAAAAAAAAATTTTTTAAGTGGTGCAAATTATAAAAACTGACTTATTATATACGATGAACATATATACGATGACGATTCATTTTAAAGTATGAAAATGATATCATCATAAGAATGTGAAACAATACAGATTAGGAATGTGACAGTTATCCACGTTTTCTGATTTATGCAATATGTTATACTTTTAAAAAAATTTTCTCGGTAAGCCCCTGATCAGGTTCAAGCAGGTTTTTTTTTTAAAAAAAAAATGTAAATTTCCTAATAAGTAAAAATTAACAAACGTCAAATGTCATCAAAATTTTGGCGAAATGTGGAACGGGCAAACCGCGAATTTTAAGAAAAAAGGTTTTGCCTTAAGAACAAAGAAAAAAAATAAATCAGAAAAAAATAAAAAAATAAAAAGGTTCGGTTAAAATAATATTTAGAGAATTTTTATAAAAATTTATAGGCGACGTGAAAACTCTCATTGATGACTTACAAAAACGAGATAAATTTTTTAATACTTGCTAAATTAAGTAATAAAAAATATATTACATCATATTTTTTCTTTCATCTTTTTTTATTATAAAAGAAACAGCAAGGCTTTTTCTCCTCGTACGTACTAAAAACAACGCCCACATTCCAAACAACTTGCTATCTTAGCAAAACTTTTTGAACGGGATTTTCCAACATTTTCGTGCTTTGACAAGGTATTTTTTGTATTAGTAGTGGTTTTCCATTCTGGTTACGAGCTCAACAATATTCGCGAAATATTGTTTGACCTACCGGTTCGATATACCCGGGATGTTCATTTCTATAGACAAGTATTACCCCGTGCTTTAACGTATCGATAAGTAATTATCTTTACGTGGTCGTTCCTTTAATACATTGACTCTTAAGATCTGACTCCTAACCGCCCTAAGCACGAATTCCTTACTCATTCAAAAATACTTAGATTACATATCTAATTTTTGCTTTTTTTTTTTATTATTCTAATAGGAATAACGGCGATGGAATCGTACATTTTGAACCCTTCTCACTGGAAATTAATTTGTACGCGCTCTTTACAAGGTATTGATTGTATTGGTAGTGGTTTTCCATTCTGGTTACAAGCTCAACAATATTCGCGAAATATTGTTGACCTACAGGTTCGAATACCCGGGATGTTCATTTCTATAGACAAGTATT